GAAAATTCTTAACGACGCATGCTACAAGGATTGCAAAAGCAGCTCCTACCCCGGTCACGCCGTCTAAGAAACAGAAGGAACCGAACTCCCAACCATTTCCGGATCCATCCCTCTGTCGTCGCCTCGCTGGATCACTTCAATACCTCCCCATCACAAGACTGGATATCGCCTTCGCAACGAACTGGATCTGTCAACATATGCAGTCTCCAACCGAACAAGACTTTAAGGCACTCAAACGTCTTCTTCACTACATCAAAGGCACCCTATCATTCGGACTACCTATCGTCGCTGGCTCGCTGGAACTACGCACTTATTCAGATGCGAACTGGGCATCCGACACCAGCGACCAAAAGTCGGTTTCGGGTTTCTGCACCTTCCTCGGTCCCAACCTTATTTCTTGGACGGTGAAAAATAAGGCGACCGTAGCTAAATTCTCCACCGAAGCTGAGTACAGATATCTCTCCGCTGCCGCATCGGACGTGATATGGCTTTGTCGACTAGCCACCGAACTCAATCTCTCTCAGCCATCACCGACAATCATTCACTGCGATAGCACATCAGCTATGGCCATTGCCAAAAAACCTGGTGTTTCATGCAAGAACAAAGCATATCGAGATTGACTATCACTTTATTCGTCAGCAAATTGGCTCCGGCAACATCCAGCTCGAGCACATCTCCTCCAAAGATCAAATAGCTAACATCCTAACGAGGCCCTTCTCGATCGCTCGGTTATCTGAATTACGGAACAAATTAACCATTCGGACACCGAATGCTTAATTTAAGGGAGGCTATTAGCATATAAAGTAATACCCTTAGGTTCTTTATCTGTATTTACTAGCTTACCATTAGCTAAGTCTTTATTAGGCCTTTCTCTGTAACTATTCAAGATACAGGAATAATACAATCCGTTTCATCTTCTTTCCCTGGCTTCACCATGTTCTTTCTTCCTCTCTTCCTGTAAAGTTCTAAGTTTACTTTAGGAATGTATACCTTTGTTCTTGCATAGAAATGAATCAAATTTTTAACCTTATTGTCTTCGCAATTACAATATATATACTAAAAAACTATGAATTTGCATATTAATTATCATGAAATAATATATGAACGTTTGCCGACTAAAATTTAATATAACTTTGTAGTAAAGTAAAGTTATTTATAGAAATGTATATGCATCTTTATAAATGTATTTATTATCTCTTATGCAATTCTTTTAATAATGAAAATCTAAATAATATAAAATATAGTTGAACTCTATTTAGCCTGAATTATTTAATATTAATTTGACTCTAAACTGAATATCTTATACAAAATAATTTTTTGACGTCAAAAATTAATTGAATGAAATATATGTATTGTTTATTTTTAAATTTTTTTCGGGCTTGTGAAGTATAATAAAATTTATCATACTATAGTATTTATTTAGAAAAAAAAATAATTTTCTAAAAAATTAGAGTTCTGTTTTTGTATTCATTGCAGTCGATTTATTTAAAAATTTACTTAAATTTATAACATTTATAAAGTCGGCCAATTGTACCTTCTTAAGAAAAACTTTATACT